GTTGAGGGCAGAATAATGCACGCAGAAGACTTCGGAGTCGGGTCGGGGATCATCAAAAAAGAAAGACTCCAATGCTTTTCCGGGGTGAAGCTGCCCAAGTTGATGTTAATTAAGTGTTCTGTTATGGTAGCGTGTGTCTTTTGACTGGCCAACCAGAGTTAACCTGCAGAGAGTGGCCCAGTAATCTTCTCCATTAGGTTAGGGTGGGTGGCCTGGGATGACGAGGCAGGAAGTTAGAGATGCAGCAAGGCTTCATATAGGTGTGATCTAGGATTGCTGTTCAAATCCATGAGCAATGTCACTGTTTAAATGAAGTACCATCCCTACCCTAGCCCGCTAATCCATCGTTCTATGGGTCACCCTTTTGCGGAAGTGGGGTAAGTTTATTCAAAGTAAGCTAGATAAAGCTATCCTGTAAACTAGCCTTCTATGAGTAGGAGTAGTCGCCAGCCAGCTAGGTAGTGACTAGTGCTGGTTTCGCAGACTATGCGTCTAGTGTATCAGGCAGGATAAGGGTCTGGATAAAAGGCTGGCCGCGCGTGTGAGTGAAAAGCTCACCCAGCCGATCCGATCACGGCGATGGGTTCCAATGTAAGTTCAGCGGTTAGATGCGTCTGCCGTTGCGCAATAGAATTCTTTCTCCGATATGTACCTTCCATCCGGGAGTACCTGTTTATCAGTGATCTCTTGGAAACCAACATAGTCCAGTGTACCAAATAGTGGTCGGATCCTAGATTTAAAAGAGTCATTCTCCCTGATCGAGCGGGAGTAAGAAGAAGAAGGAGCACTTTCATCTTCCGGGCTTACAAGACGAGACCTAGATGGTACGTTATAGGATATTCGAAAAAACGCAAGTAGGACAAAATGACTGAGGTCAAATGGCACGCGGTAGTCATTCAAACAAAAGACGCTGAGGAACCTCCATCGAGCCACGTGATCCGCTACAACTCACACAAAGACTAGGGTTCGGCTTAAAAAAAGAGGGGGGGGGGGGGGGGGAGAAAGAGGACAGGGGCGCTCCCCGCTAACCGAAGTCTTGGATTTTTCTTTCAAAGGAAAGACAAGCAGTGGTTTCCCAGTTATCTTCAATTACTTAGTGAGAGCTTATCGAATTGATGTAAGGCAGGGATACCATGTAGGAGGCCTGATCATACACCTTAACTCACTAGAGCGAGCGTGGACATTACTTTGAAACGTCGGTGACTACCCTGTAGGTAGAGCGGCTTTCTCCTAGAGTGTATAGCTCATTCGAAGTTCGACCTCATGAAAACATAGAGCTGTCAAAGTCCTCTCCTTCCAGTCGTTCTTACAGTCAAGTGACTGACCTTTCCCTCCTATCGTTAGAGCTACTTCCTCCGCCTCCCCTCTTTTATATTTAATAAAAGAAGGCTTTGGCTGTGCCCTTTTAACAATATTATCAGACGCGCCCCTACCTTACAAAGAACATCAAAAAAGGCAATCCTCTCTTATCAAATGGCACATCAGCCGCAAGACCCTGGATAACGAACCTGTGTGATTGGGGCATTCTACAATTTAAGGTCCGATTTATTCTTGTCCTTTATGACTGGGATTTGTTGACTCCCTAACCTAATATGGATACCCAGCCCAGACCTGAGAATAGCCAACTTCTTATTCTTATTGTATGACCATGCTGAGTTAAGAGAAAGCACCTTCTCAATTTCTGTAATGTCTACTGCTTTTTCGACTACTTAATCTGTTGCTGGATGATTGACTGTGGATTGACCAGGGGGGTAAATACCTTTGCTCCAGGCCTTTGCTTCCAAGATGTATAGTTGTTTACGAGATGTGAGAAGCGTGGATTCCTCGAGATGTCTAGTCATAGTCTGTTGTGTCACTTCAAAGATGATTGCCGGGGACGACTTCAATGATTGTATTTCCTCTGGGCCTGTTCAGGAAGAGATGTTTTGGTCATTCTGGTAATTTTTTCATTGAAACAAGTTCCAACCACGATGGTTTGGCGTGAGAGGTAGAGCCAAATGCGCCGATTTCCTTGTTTGTCACCATCTCTTTCAAATGTTCGTTCATTCGCGTCTTAGACAAGGTGGGTTCACCCCTTTGTGTGCCGGTTGGTCCTTAATTTTTTAATATAAATAAATAAGAATTGGGTGTCGCATTAGCTTTTTACAAGGTGACGACGGGATAAGATTTCAAATAAATAGGAAAACCAGCCCTTGAATGGCATGCTCCCTATCTGTCTCAATTGGCCGAGCTGAATCGGTCAACCTGTAGGAAACAAACTAGTCAATTGCTCTTCTATCTTACTGAATCACTCAACTTCGATTCCTGCATCGTTTGCATACATTTCCTATCCGGGATAAGGGGTTTAAGGCGGAAAAGGCATATAGAATGGTAACGGCTGAACAGAATCAATGTATCCTCAGAAAATAGAGTCCAGTGGTTCGAATCCACTTCTAAAAGCGGGTGAAGGTGGGGACATTAGCAACCTCAACTCGAGACGAGAAGGGGCACCTGAATCCTCTAATGAGGAGACCTTTTGACATAAACTCACCTAAATTGTTTTCATTCATGGATGTCTTTTCAGGATACAATCCGCTAGAAAAGACCAAGGATAGAACCAATTCATCCCATTCTTCGGTTGAAGCAGCTGCCCTTCCATCAACAGAATTGGCTCCAGCGGGCCTAAGTAGACCTCCTCCATTAGTTCCAAACCTTGACGGTTGGGCTTTTAGGTATAGGTCAAGCGGTTAAAGAAAGAAGGAGTCGGAGCGGATAAAGAACAAAAGATTTATGTTGCTAAATCGCACACATGTCAGAACAACACTTAGAGATCGGGCAGCACCGGGAATGGATAGACAAGTTCAGGAGTAAGGTTTCTCGGTATGGAAGAGCAGCTGATCTTGCACCAACCATTGAATGCGTAGATTCAAAACCAACGATGATACTTGAAGAAGCGTAGTTGCCTTGGCGGGTATAACTTCTCCAAAATTTGTGTGTAAAGTAAAGCAAGCTGTTTGATTCCGCCTTTGAAAGAGAACCTCCGAGCAACCTTTTTATTTATGAGTTGAAAACCTTTTTGTCTGGTCCGAGGGGTTCTCGTAGAATTCTTTTTGATTAATTAGAGTCAGGTGCGCCCGAGGGAGCGACAAGGTAATCAGGTAGGAGCTGCGGGAGTTCAATAGCCGTGTGGAAAGAAAAAGTAAACAGGGGCACCTGAATTATCATAAATGAAGAGATTTCGCAGATGCGGTCTATGGACTCTTTGCTACTGATTTGAGACCTGGAATGAGGAAGTGTCCGCTCTTGAATTGTAGGGAAGCCCCTCTTTTCACGACATAAACGAAAGGAGAAGCTCAGGGGCAGAGGAGACGGAGCAGGTCTTTCATCAGCTGTGAATCCTACCGATGCCGATACCGAACCAAAGGTCTTTCCCCAGTTGACCTTCTTTCTCTTAGTTTTCGCTTAACAGCGCCTTTCAGATCCGCGCCAGGCCGACAAGTATGAGATAGATGCTCTCAAATGCGCAATTGAATCCGAGTGGTGGCGAACAGACAAAGCTATCTGGGACCCATCGATGATATTTGATTGCCCCGGCTCTGACTTCACCATAGAAGGGAAGGAAAAGAGGCTAGTTCGTGGCTTTTAGTCTTAACTGACACACTATCGGACTTTACTGGCTTGAAACTTTCAGTTCTCTTACTCGACTAGAGGGCTTTCCCTCACATCCGACTCTTCATTATAGAAGGTTCTTTCTGTCCAATACGGGGGAATCAGCTTCATTCAATGCCAGCATCTCTCTCAGCTGCAAGAAGATCAACTGCATTGCCAAGCTCCAACTCTGCTTTTAGCTTTAGTCGGCTCCTCCTGGAGTTCGGAATCGGCAAGAGATAAGAGGGACGTACTTAACAGCAAGGAAGTGGAATCAATCCCGTTTGCTACAGGATTCTTTCTTTCAGGTAAACCCCTTTTTACTAGAAAGTAAAATCTCAGTTTGAAACCCCAATACTTGCTACTTCAGCAGAGGCATCTTCCTGGCTTAGAAAAGATCCGCTAGAGATTCCCTCAGACTCCTAGTCGAGATCTTCTCTTTCTCCTATCCCGGTAGACGGGCGAGCATATCCTAACCTTAAGAAGTTAGTTTTCAAGAGAAGGAGTACCGCTCTTCAACTCCGCTCCTTTCCTCAGTTCTTCTTAGTACCCTTTAATGAATGGGAAGAGGAAGTGGGAAGACCTCCCCGGTCGAGCAGTTTGCAACTCCGATCCCTAACCTAAAGGTAAGTTTGACCCGGTCTAACAGCGTATTGTCCGCTCAAACTAAGAGCAGTTTGGAATGAAACTTCCTCCCGGGTCGAGTGAGCTCTTGCTTCTCCGCTTCGAGTAGCCGACTCGCCCTTTCTTACCAGATATAGGATTCCCTTTCAAAAGATGCCGAGCCAAGATCAGGTGATTTTCTTCCTCTAGTTAGGCATAGTCCGAATTAGCTCGTCAGTGGTAGAAGCTGGTTCATCGGCTTAAGCCAGTCAATCTATCCAAAGAGCCTACCCTACGCCTCCTATAATAGATTCAGCTCCAGCTGCGCTTTGCTTCTTTCTCAATCCTGAATCCTTACTTGCTACTTTCATCACGAAAGACGCTTTCTCAGTATCTATTCAATTCGGACTTCATGCTCACTTCAGAAATGAAGCTAATAAGGCCTAAAGCTGAGCGACGAGTCCACTGGCATGAGAATCAAGCGAAGTAGAGCGATAAGCACACTATCGATTGATCCAAAGAAGCTTAACGACAACTTCCATTCCAGGCCCTGAAGGAAAGAAAGAGACGAAAGCAATCCCTTGCTCCGGCCCTTAGAATACCATGAATCTTGACCCTAGTGAAGGTAGTCGATGAGAGGAATAGGTGGTTTCCAAAGGATAGAGTCATTGTATATGACGCTCTATCTGTATTGGATGGATGCCTTAGCTGTGGATAATTTCTTTCAAGTCTTCTTTTCTTTGATCGCCTAAGTCCTTGACTTGAACACTTCGCTGAAATCATGTAGAAGAGGTCATCCCTTAGTGGACTGATTCAACCTTGTAGCATATCTTGCAGCCGGTCTCCCCTCATTCATGCCTTCCTTCAAGGCCTATTCTTTTGGATATCCTTGTTCCCCTCTTTCCTGGAACATCCTTTTCTTCTGATTGATGGGACTTCTTTCTGCAATCCCTTGACCTAACCTCTCCTTGCCGCAGCCAAGTCTTCCCCAACCTCTCCTGATGTTCTTGGTGAGCTAGCCTGTCATCCACCGCCCCAACTGTGATGGTCCCCTTCGGCTAGTTCTTTCACAAGTGACCCAGTCTTCCATCTGCTTCTTCCTCCAAATGGTTTTGTCCCCCTAGCCAAGTGGTTCTGTCTTTCTTCTAGTAGGTACTCTAGAGGTCTTCAGCCCCATGTTCCACAGATGGACAGCCGGGACAGGACCGGGTTCTATCTCATGATGCTGCTGCTACGTTCATTTGGTCGAGCAAGGTCTTACCTTGTCTTCTATGTATGGCTGGCTCTTCTTGATCTTGAGGTCATGGGCTAACTCGACCGTAGGGAGAGGGGTTCAAGATGCCCTCGTCTAAGTCTGTCTATTTCGTTCTTTGCTTTAGGAGCTCGTAGGTCTCAAGGGTTGTTTTCCAACTCGACCGGAGGACTTGAGATGTCGCTAAGGGAACGTCTTCCGGATCGATCGAAGAGGGAGGTGAAAAGAAGAAGTTGAGTATATCATAGCTGACCGCAGGTTGGATAATCTCCGCTTGCCCTGTTGAAACCTCACCCTATGTCAGTCTTGCTCGTCGAAGACGTAGAAATGAAACTGTGTAGATAGAGGTGAAGGTTACAAAATGAACAACCTATCAATCCTCGTAGTCGAACCTTGTTTTTGTGGAATATGTACCCCGGCCCTGTATCATGAACACACGAAGGGTACGGCATCGGGTCAAATAGGAAGAATTCTCCAAACACTAAAATCCTCGTTGGACGGAAAAAGGAAGGCGAAAGCCTATCTATAACTAGGGACCGCCAACCCAGACTTTGATCAACAATAGGCCAACTGCTGATTCTGGTAGTTAAAAGAAAGCCCATACCTAACTCGCTATGCTTACAGCTTGGCACGGTCCCGTGCTATGCTATTTGATCGAGATTCGAAAGACCCTTCCTCGCCGCCACCTTCCTTCTGAGCCAGCCCGATTGGAATCTTGTACACTTTCGTTATCTTTCTTTTATTGATCCAGCCTATACCTATTTCCTCTTGCTTCGTGCGGCCGCCTGTACCTCATAGAACAGAAATCCTGTTTAGGAAGCTAGCAGCCATCAAGACTGAAGGCGAGTCAAGAAGGAACGGAGAGTTTACAATTCACAACCTGGCATCCCACACAGAAGACGATTTTTATTTGATAGCAGACTTTCTTTTGTGCCAAAGGGAGTTAGAATGTGCTTTGGTTCACAGGTGGTATATCCCTATATAGATATAGATAGGCTCTGTAGTCGGGCTTAAGCCAGTTTCACCGAGGGTTTAAGCAGTGATTAGGTACGAGCAATAGTCTGATTAGGATTCTGCTGGAACAGCGCTCTCTATTAAGAGCAGAAAAGACTGATCACTAAAGAGATACAAAGTTGTGTAGTTCCTTTGTGCCCAGAGGACTTGAAAGAGCTTCCTTAGGATTCTACCTCAATTCAAAGTCGTAAGTCTTTCGCTTGCCTAAGGTTAAGGTAAGGGGCTCGTTGGTCTTGGTTTCGATTCCAGAGATCGAGATTCGAATTAGCTTTTTTCGAACTAAAAAGAAAGTGAGGTGAGTGAGCAAGCAACTAGATCAAAAATGGAAATAATTGTTCTTTCACTTCCGGGAATTAAGTAGAGGATCCCGGCTTCCCTATCTGATGATTAGGATGATGCCTGAACTGGAACTGGTGGAATCCCTACTAGTCACCGATGTTGGTGCCTTTTCTGCTCTTGTCGGAGTAGCTACTCTTGGTGCTTTTGGCTTAAGGAAGCAAGTAAGCTGAGGGAGTTCTGTGGTGAAGGACTACGCGCTGCTAATGTCCACATTCGGTCGGTCTTCAAGTGAGTGAGTGAGATGAGGAGTGAAGAGATTCGGGTTAGCCAAGTACCATCCATTTAGCTATCGGACGATGTGATCGTCCGCCCATTATTTATTCTTCACCCCGCTTCTGGTCTTCCCACATGCAACTGGTATGCGGTAAGACAAGTCTTCATTCTACGCGGGTTAGAATATGATCTTCCTTATGTTAGCAAGAAGGAGATCTTTCGGAAGATCAGAAAGAATGCCCTGTTCCGTTTGAAAGTGAATCATATCATAATCATAGAGTGGAAGAATGGCTTGCGACAGTAAGAAAAAATGAACTTAAACCGTTAATTTACGAGCAGGGAATAGGCCTTATCCAGTGGGATCTCTTGGGTATTCCAACCAAGTACTAAAGAACCGGCGGTTATTCGGCATCTTCAAGCGAGTGAGTGGCCTTCAGAAGACGAGAAGGTTTAGAATCCTATTGTTACAATACCTATTGTTGTTGGAATATCCGTTGCTTTCGTTACCGGTCTTCTTCTTTGGCTAACTGTTTCAGTAACCGTTGCCTATCTGCTGTGAGAGTTGCCGCTGTTGGCATAGAGGCTCTTACTGTGATCGTAGAAGCTCCTATTGAATCAGCTGCACATTCATCTCTAGAGGAGCTTGTTCTCGAATACCCTCTTGCTGCAAGAAAAGAAGGGGTTGCTATTGAATCGTCTGTGAACGAATCTGCTGCAGGAAGGGCCCCATCAAAGGAAACTGCATTCTATCGTCTAGATCGCTTCCCAGCTTACTCAGGAAATCCACTCCCTTCCTCACTGACCTAGCCCTTACATATTTCTGCATAGTGTTCAAAAAGTCCTCCAACTGACTCACAGGGAACTCGCAGGGACCCCATTCGATCGTATCGCCTATTACTTCTTATCCGGAGAAGGAGACAGAAAGAATCCCACCAAGACTGGTATACATCTATTAATAGTAGTCCTTTGAGGCACGTTACATTCGTTACGCTCCTTAGCTCGGTAGGGGGTACAAGAGTTAGCTCGTTTGGATCGGAGTGAACCGAAAAGGGAATGTATTCAATATGCGAGTAAGAAGATTCATTTATAGGCTTGAAACCTAACTTGTCTGGAGAGCGAAATTAACCAATCAATTAAAAGCACATTAATTAGTTAATGCTTAACACTACAGCTAAGGGAAAAAGAAGTTCATCCATACACTTAAAAAAGGAGGTTAATATTCTCATCTTTTATCCTCTTTGGCTAAAAACAGACTGCTAGCTTTCAAGATTCCAGTTTTCAAACTTGCCTAAGCTCTCCATAGCTTTATGTCTATCCTGCCGCTCTATCTCTAGCTTTCTTATTTGCTTGCTCTAGAGCTCGCAGGTTTCAAAATGAGAACTTCCTTCCCCTCGAACCGACATGGAAGACTTAGATTGGCCTATCATTCAAATGAAATTTTATAGCACGCCAACAGGACTTACAAAAGCACTCCAACAACTCCCTTGAACTTGAAGATAAAATACTACTTATCCGGAAAAACAAGCATCGACTAAATAGAAGGCCCTTGAATCTTATCGTTAGCCTATAGCGCTATCTACCCTGACTTAAGGGATGTAACAGAAGTCTCAAGAGAACTAACAATCGATGGACTGGAAGGGCGAGAGACAGAAGAGCAAAGAGAACTCCATCTAGAATTTCCACTCCTTCTACCAAGTACGGCATTAGCAATTGAAGAGCTTAGTTAGGATGGATGGAACTACCTCGAACTGGCTCGATAAAGTCTGGGAGATTAGATAAGCTGGCTAGGTTATATTCTTTTTACTGAAAATCCACCGAAGGTGCTGGACCCGGTTGTTAAAAAGATTGTGGGCTATCCCGTGTTATTTCGACACCTTGGACTTCGGCATCTTTACTTAGGGATTCCCTGGGTAAATCATCTTTCTTTCCCTGCGAGAACAGCTCTTCTTCAGCCACCCAAGCTTGCAGGTGTATCGCTTTTGAATTCGGGTTCCCACCGTATTGATGAGTGGTACGTCTTTTATGTCCTCATCAATGACTTCTCCCTGGCCTTACCTGACTATAAAATGTAGCTAATCCCCTGACTGCATTAAACAGCAAACAAAGGCTTTTAGCAGCTTTTATACGAGAAAAGCTGGGAATTATTTCCTTGTTCTTACTTCTTCTTGTTTTCCTGGTTTCCGGGTAAGTCCGGGTTTAGTTGGTTTCCTTGGGACTTCTTTTCCGGTTGGTAAAGCCACTCACGGCACACTTGAAATATATATGTGTGATGCCGACACCTGACGAGTACGTTTTCTTAATGAATAAGAGAGCTAGGAAGGATCCTTAAAAAGGAGACTGACATAGGGAACATAGACAAGTGAGCGTCGATGGATGCTTAATTCCCCTTATTTATTAGGGCGCGGACGTCGCTTTTAGTTGTTTTCTTTGTTGCTGCCATTGACCCCTATGCTGCATTCGATCCATCTGTCCCATCACCAGAGGCGGATATGTGCCCAGGCATCAGATGCCTTTCGGACCTGTAAGGGAAATCAGTCATAGGTAGGCCCCATAGCCATCTCCATTCATCAGAAACTATCAATTACGAGTCCGGGGCAGGCTAACCACCAGCATCTTATCTCTTTTCATCCTTTCCGGTGGCACTAATAGAAAGGAAGTACTTGCCAACGAACCTTGACTCTCTACTCTCTCCCAGCGAATCAAGAAATCTAGTGCGGTCAGTAAATGCATAATTTGGATTGGAATCCCGGGATTGAGAGACAGATATTCGCCAGGTCCGATATTGGATCATTTGCCGCTCACTCGCTTCTTTCTGCACTGGATCGAATCAATTAGATGGGTCACTGGGAACGGATTAGCTTATTGGCTGCTCCGATGCCGCCACGGAGCCTTCATTCGCCGGTTCTTGGCACTTGGGACTGGGAGAAGAATATGAATTTGAAGGCTTAAATGCCGCTCCGTACCCCTCGGAAGATTGAGGATACATCGTAGGTTTCATTGCTTTTGATCCCTTTCTTTCTCCGCGGAGAATTAAAGCAAGCCATGCTTTTGAGGATCCAAATGATGGTTAGTTCGAGTTAGCTAGCTGCTCATTCCCTTCCGCGGGGGGTGGGGATGAATACCGATAAGGGACGTAGGAATGGCCCTTAACTGTCCGGAAGGCTGAAATAGCTTTCTCGGGAGCCTCAGGGAGGTCGGGGTATTCAATCCCATGATACTCAAGGAGCAAGGCGTCGTATCCTAGGGGTTCGACTAATACATCGTAAAGCGGATCCAGGTTTTGGTTTATAGCCGGGAAAGGTCAACCACTACCCCCCTATTTTCAGCTAAAAACAGACTCTGGAAGCAGTTTTTGCTAGGATGAATGCAGGATAACAAATTCTTCAGCTTGTCTTATAGAAAATCTAGTTCTGCTGGTGAAATGGTTGCTGCACCGACTGCACACTGGATGGACTAGTTAATCAAAGAATGCGCTGCTGACGCGAGATGGACTGCTGCTGTGAGATAAACTTTTCCTAAAATATTTTTCCATCTCAAGAAGTCAATGAGAAAAGAATGGTATTCTCCAGTAGGGAGGCCTCCAAGGACAAGTCCGCAATGGAAGAAAGAAACGGCCTTTCGAAGCGTGACAAGCAAATGCTGTAAATGAGATGGCCCAGAATGCCGATCAATGATTGCTTTCAAGCCAGAGGCGAGGGACAACAACCAGTGCCCGGGGATGATGTTGATGCTGGACCAGCTTATTCACCCGATGATCAAAAGAGATTCCCAGAAAACTAGGACCTGAGAGAGTCCCCGTTGGAAGGCGAATAAGAGATCCAGTTGTGTCTACTTGTGGTGTGCATGACCCGAACAAGGAGATGTCTAGCCAATCAGAGGAGTTGTTGCACAGCGTCCAGGGGCTTCCACGCCAGGAAAGAGAAAAACTCTTAAGTGGCAAAGAAAGTTCTTCCCAAAGACGAGTTTCACGCCTTCTACAGGGATATGGTCTCCATCGTCTGGTCTTGCTTTTCGTCTGAAATAGTATCCTGTAAGCCGGGTCCCTGTTAGCTACTTGCTTTCCACCGTCATTGGACTAGGCTTCCCGGATCCCCTTTCTTCGGTGCTGACAAAGAACTAGACGGTCAAGAAATTTCCCCACTCAATCAATATCCATCAGCTTTTGACTTTTCTTATAAAAAGCTTTGACCTACTCCCTGAGCAGAGATGTACGCTTTATACAGGTAGTGGGGTCATGTATACTCATGGGATGGCTTTTTTTGGAGTAATGAAAAAATTCCATTGCATCCAAATCAATCAAGATCTAAGTAGTTGTTCAGTAAACTATTATGCTTCTCGCATGCAGTATCCGAGTCTTGCCTATTTAAGGAATATAGAGGAGGTATGCGTCCTCTCGGTCGCCTTGACCAATCACAGATCAGCTCGAAAGTACCCCTTTTTATTATGATGATAGGGGTGGATGGTAGGGCTAGAACAGGCATAATCGCTGCAACGCCCAGAAGTGGGCCGACTATCTTCCATAAAATATATATATTCGGCATTTAATGAGATAGTAAAGTTCTAGACTCAAGCTAGCAAAAAACAAGACTGAGGTCGGGCATTACTGGTAATTGCTAAGGTGCTTTCTGAAGTATTAACCATTGGCTAGCGCTCATCTTCAGCTCTGTTTCCAGCCTTTCATTTCATATACCATTCCCGTATGCCATACCTCTTATTTAACATCCAAGCCTCCTCCCATCGGTAGTTGGAAGCAGAACTGAGGCTGGATGTAACTGAAGGAAAGGGGATATAGGTACGATAGGAGGGCACGGTTAAGTTAAGCAGGTAAGCGAAGGCTCTCTCTCTCGCCCTGTGGTCTTGTGTTAAGCCCTTCCGCCCATTATTGATCTTCATTCTAAGCGAGCAGGTCGAAAGCAGTTGAGGTGATAGCAAAAGTAAGCAGGGAAGCAGAAGCAAGAGGTCTTCAAAGAACTTTTGTGTAATAAAGCTTCTCGGTCGCATTTCATTGGTCTCTAAGGCGCTTAATCGTTCATCGATCTTTTCTTCTTTCTTCAATCGGTCATATCTGATCCGTAGCTGGTAGCGACATGAGGAAAAGGTCCAGAATAGTCTATTTTATTTGCTAAATCGCGAGTTTAAGGGGTCGGATGGGTCAAGTATGGCCTCTAAAAACATGCGATAATCGGCTTTTTTAGTAGCATCTGTCCTTCCCGGCCTGCTGTCGTCAACGGCCCGCTTCCTTGAATGAGAGTCGGTCTTCCCGATCCACGAATACTTTCCGTTGTCCTTTACTAGTTTAGTGGCTTCTGCCTGAGGGCATCTGGAATTGTCTGTTTCGGTATTAACTCTTGTAAACGGTCGCAAACGCTCATCTGTCCACGAATACGGTTCCCTTCTTTTATTCTATAGCTTTTATTCAATTAGGGCGAATACCTTGTAACCGAATTTCTTTCTTGAAAGATATGCTACTTCCCGGTCGAGCTGTCTTGTAACGGTCTCTAGGGTCTTCAGTCGAATTTTTCTTCTTTCCTGTAGTAGTTCATCTGATGAGTTCATCGCGCAATTTGAGTTTAAGCATCGGGCTTCTGAAAGCTATCTTCTGTAGGGATCGGAGATCGCCTTGTATAACTATCGATCAATGGTTTTCGCGCTAGGAGATCATCCGCTTATGGCAGGAAGGATGGATGAGCTCCCTATTGATATAAAAAAGGATGGAGGTGAAGTCTGAGCCTCGGATGAGGGGGGGAATATAGACACTGGGAAAGGAATCATGGGAGTCCGCCCGAATAAAGGGAGCCTTACGTGAGAGGGCCCTGGAGGAGAATTGGAATAATGAGAGGAAGTTTACTTGCTCGACCATAGGTAGGGACTCACTCGACCATAGGAGAGGGAGAGGGAGAGGAAGAGGCCCCTGGAATCATGGTAGTACGCCTCAAGATTGGAATGAGGGGAAGGAATGGAAAGATAAATGGATGGGAAATCCCCCTATGTGCTGAGAATAAGAGGAGCCAACAAACTGAAAAATACCCGTGGGAAAGCATGGGAGCCCCAAGCCTATGTAATAGTATCAACCCTTAGAAGATAGTTTAGCATCACCCTACCAATGAGTCTGGAGGAAAGACTGGTGAATCAGGCAACCCCTCTACCTTGAATTCATAACTTGCATAATGAGTTGCATCGACATCTTTGCCCGTGATCGAATGCCCCTTTCCCACGCCACCAATCGACGAATGCTGAGGAAGGAGTGAATCAACTGATGCAACCAACCACAATACAATACACCACCCGAGCAACTATCCAACACCCGAAAGGGCGGAATAATGCCAGGAAGTTACCAAGCAACTCCAAGTGAATAACCCAACCACGACTATCTAACCAACTACCGATGAACTAATCAACAACCGAACGAGACTGAATCCAAGCGAGTGAATGAACGAGTCAGGGGTTTGTAAAGAGCAAAGGACTATAAAAAACACTACCCGGAATAGGAGTCTTGGCTAGTTTGAGCTGGAAGACGAGTCGAAGAAGTCAAAAGAGCAGGAAGAGGCATAATAGCCATCAACCGGAAGCAGTGCAGAAATAGGAGGAGAGCTTGTCTCAGCGGATTGCCGACGAGGAAAGAGTTGCCTGACCGCGAGGAAGGCCCTAGACGAGTGATTGACTGACCGTCAGGCTCCTTAAACCTTGACCCACCTTCCTGTCATAGGCTTGCTTCCCTCTGAAAGTTCTTTCTTTCCTTCTGCCACTAGTAGCTGTCTCATTCCTGACCTTCTGTTAGTACGGGCTAGCCTCAGCTAGCCGGTGAAATCGATAAGTCGTGTAACAAACAATCCTTGTTCCTGACTTTGCCCTTGTTCCTTTCGCCTTGCTGCCTTCGTCTTTCGGCTTTAGGACTAGCTCAGTCTTCTTTAATAAATAGGTATTCAGTGAGTGACTCTTTCCATCTTTAGTTTAGGTTCATTACGGCAGTTGTTAGTTCCGTCTCTTTATCAGTTAATTCGGTATCGTTTATTAATAGCGTATTTTAAGGGTAGTCCTTCCCCCAGGTGCGCCTAAAGTCTTATGATGATCCCTTTGCCCTAGGTTGGGTTAAACCATCGGACTCGACTAAGAAATCCATGCCAGAGACTCCTCCTAGTAACCATCCCCGAAATCCGGGAAGGTGTTCTTGAAGACATGGCGGCCCCCAAGCTACACCCTTCTCCGCTACCAAATCATAGATCTTCCAAAGAAGACCAAAGCGAATGAGCTCACTCGATTCGCGTCTGATCCTCCATGATTTCTCATAGACTGACGCGGGAAAGAAGTCACTTAAGGAAACATCCGGTGAATTCGCGACACTCCAGTCTCCAGTACCAATGGACGTACCGAAGCCAATCCTTCATCCAGTTTCTGAGCAAAGACCACTCAAGGTAGTTTACTTGCTTACTTTAAAGGGTAAGGTAGTTTACTTGCTCGACCATAGGGAGAGGTGGTCCCGGACTCTTTTTGTTGGAAATAATTCATCAGGGGCCGCCTTTAAATCCGAAGGTTTCGTCTCTTTAAGAAGGGAAGGAAGGAGATAATGAACCCCGAAGATAAGGAAGCGAAAGCTCACTCTGCCAAGCCACAATTCTAATGGATAGTCATTGTGACCCCGAGGCTTGGTGTACATAGCAAGAACCCGCTCAAAGTGACGAGATCTTGTATGACTGAGTTTGGCAAGGACCCCCTCCACCACCCATCCTTACTAAGGTAGAGAACCTTCGTAATGAATGGATATTTTTTACATATAGCCACCATATGGATGCTGGTAAGCAAGCAAACAACGAGCAGACATGGCAGATAAATCCACGCGTCCACCCTTGACGCAAAAGCGCTTAGCAAACTCAAATGCACCTGTGTCAGAAATCAGATATTTTTGAGTTGAAATTGGCTGAAGACACTGAAAATAAACTTCAGCAACTTGCGCATCAGCGATGACAACATCATTACCGAGCACATTGATTGGGACACGTCAACTAAAGTGGCTTTTGAACGAGACCTACCGGCTTAGGGTCAGTTGCTACTAAAATGGGTGTACCCTGAACGGGGTTCCGATCTCTAAATGGATCCGCTATAGCTACTCGATCTCGATCAAATAGCTTTGGATCTGTCTCTACATCTGGAATATCTGTGGATATGGAACTCAATATCGATCTGAAACTTGAAGGGTGCTCCATAGCTTCAACTGATACTGCTTCTAGCCAACATCGGCTATGGATCACGCCCATCATCATAAGGGCATCCATCCGGTTGGATCATAGGCCCTGGTGATGGCTCCCCTTACTAGTAAAGGGAACTGGAAGGGATGCTATTGGTGCTATCGGTACTGCTCTCGTTATCATCGGCAGATATGCCTCTTTTTCTATTAGCGGGAGTCTTTCTCTACTGCTGTTGGTATCGCCTTCTGGATATGCTTCTGCTTTTACTGATGCTTATGGATCACTTTCTGAATCGAACCCAAAAACGGATAGGTTTGATCGGCCTGGCCTCGGGTGGTGGATCGAATGAACACTCAACCGCGTCATCACGGAAGCGATGGATGCCCAACCTTTATATCTCTTCCTTCTCAATAAAGGCGGGGATGGACTCTGAAATACTCCTCCGATCGGTTCCGACAGTCTTTTCTTCACTTTCTCTTCTCGGCATGATCCAGGCGTTCAAGCTAGCAGATCAAATCATGGGTTCTCATCCCGGAGAGGCAAGTTAGTCGGTTGGTTGAAATGCGGTTATGCCGGGTGGACTAAAGTAAAGTGGGAGGTGGCATCGTCTAACGTATAATAAAAGCACGCTTGCTTTTATTGTTTCGCTCTGCGCTTATTGGTTGAGGCACTGCTGCGTCTGCGTGTTCTCATCTAAGAAAGATGTACAGTTCTCGCGGAGCGCGCTTGCGAAGGACCAATGACGAGCTATATAGAGGATAAGAGAAGGAATCCCTTATATATTATAAAAAAAAAGTGTCCGGGGTTGAAGTTAAGTTTTTTTTTTTTCGTCTGAATATTCAGGAGCTAAGACCATTCCAATGCTCCCTTTCGCCATGCATAAACTGCACCGGATAAGCTAATACGAAAATAATGTATATAAATAGGGAACGGATACGCCCAATACATTATAAACTCATTGCCCGTGGATAAAGACATAAAAAAAAATTACTGTAATAGTGGATTCGGAATTGTGGTGTAACCTCCCATTGCTCTATCTCCGATAGCATGCAGCCGATAATGAGGACAGATATATAGAAAGTGTGCAGTGAGGGATCTTTATAGGTAACCAGTCTTTACTTAACTCGACTCAAGCTTTACTTAGCCCAAGCAATGCCCAAAAGTCCCATGTTTTTCTTGGTTGGACCAGCCCAACCGGCGATTTACGTCTTCCTGAATTGGGAGAGCAAGCACAAGTCTCTCTTCTTTTTTTTTGGGGGGGCAGAGCAGTTAAAGAATGAACCAACCAAAATGATTGTTCTAGAATGGCTATTCCTCACAATTGCTCCTTGTGATGCAGCGGAACCTTGGCAATTAGGATTTCAAGACGCAGCAACACCTATGATGCAAGGAATAATGGACTTACATCACGATATCTTTTTCTTCCTCATTCTGATTTTGGTTTTCGTATCACGGATCTTGGTTCGCGCTTTATGGCATTTTCACTATAAAAAAAATCCAATCCCGCAAAGGATTGTTCATGGAACTACTATCGAGATTCTTCGGACCATATTTCCTAGTATCATCCTGATGTTCATTGCTATACCATCATTTGCTCTGTTATACTCAATGGACGAGGTAGTAGTAGATCCAGCCATTACTATCAAAGCTATTGGACATCAATGGTATCGGACTTATGAGTATTCAGACTATAACAGTTCCGATGAACAGTCACTCACTTTTGACAGTTATACGATTCCAGAAGATGATCTAGAATTGGGTCAATCACGTTTATTAGAAGTGGACAATAGAGTGGTTGTACCAGCCAAAACTCATCTACGTATTATTGTAACACCTGCTGATGTACCTCATAGTTGGGCTGTACCTTCCTCAGGTGTCAAATGTGATGCTGTACCTGGTCGTTTAAATCAGATCTCTACTTCGGTACAACGAGAAGGAGTTTACTATGGTCAGTGCAGTGAGATTTGTGGAACTAATCATGCCTTTATGCCTATCGTCGTAGAAGCAGTTCCTAGGAAAGATTATGGTTCTCGGGTATCCAATCAATTAATCCCCCAAACGGGGGAAGCTTAAGCGGAAATGAAAGAGTAGGGTGAGGGAGTGAAACTTGCTCGACCATAGGGAGAGGGAGAGGGGGGGGAAGCCACAAAATTGAAGGCTTCGCTCGCTCGCTCTAACGCTCGTTTAGTAAACAGCGAGTGGAGTGCATAAGCCCCTTTAGAGATAGGGGCGAGTACTACACGAGCTCGTAAGTAAAGTACGGAACGAGCCTTGTCTACGAAGCAGAGCGACCTCGTCTTGCTTGCTTCTGGCGAAGCTTCTAGCACTAGATAATAGGCATAAAAGTATGGTAGGAATACTACTTTTTAGGCCGATCACTACATAGGAGCGATAGCGAAGCCAAGCCGTATAAAGGCGAGCAGCCCTTATAGCAATAGTAAACGGCCTACTTATAGCCCTCTTTTTTCCCCCGGGACTTCAACGGGCCCTACAAGCTCATGTGTCAATTCTTCGCATTTTAAACCAATTTATAGTGACCAAGAAAGACCAAAATCAAAGAGCGGAATTCATTCAAACCTACTTTCATAAAATCATCAATCGTCAGATCTCGTGAATAAATATTTCGTGGATGGATGGAAGGACCTGTTAAAAAGAAAAAATTATCTTCTATATACGAAATTACTTATAGGCAGGATATAAATCTATCGAATTCGAGGTAGATCCCCAGAGTGAGCAGCAATTGCAAAAGATATAAAAAGAGGAGCCGAATATCTTTTTTCAGTAAAAAGCTCGAAGCGAAAGAGGGCCGGAAAAGATCCGTAATAAAAAATGATTGCACTGCACTCGCAGCATTGACCGGAAATGTGGTAGGCCAAAGAATAAGCTAAGCAGACAAGAAGAAATCCTTTCCCTCAGACCACATTAGCACTTGAGCTCAGAACATTTTTGGGAGAAGAAAGACTCACAAGGGGCGAGGTGCGTCTAGAAAGGAAAAGTTTTATAAGGGCTTACACCTCAGCCTATTGGCGGCCCGCCCAATGTTAGCATTCAGATCGATTCTCATCCCTGGCCCTGAAAGGTGGACACCGCCCGCCTTGCCCGGGCTTTGGAAACCCCATCGAAGTCGAATTCCCATTCCAGGCCGTCCTGTTCGCTATCCGAGTGAGTCCCAGTCTGGGAGAAGGGGGGGCCATCTGTTTCAGAAGGTCCGAAGATTCATTTCAAAAAACAGGAATGTCAGAGCAGTTAGTCCGCATGTCCCTAACTACCTTGTTCCTGATTGGATTGCTTTCTTAGTGTGGCATCTTTTTGTTCGCTGTCCACTGGTGATATTATCATATCATATATAAATGTAGATAGAGAAAGAGGCTAAGCTAAGCCTACGTAACGCTATGGGAACAGCTTTTTTTGTCCGCTTTCAGCTATGCTATATAGATGCGCTACCTTGTGAAAGAAAACATCATATGTAAGTAAGTAGCATCTAGAATAGAATCCAGAGCTGCTAAGAAAAAAAAATCGAGTAGCTTGCGGGCCGGTCGTCATTGCACACTAGCTGGTCAGTGGGGGTAAGAGAGTGTTCCGTTGGTGTTCTCAGTCTCAGTGCGACCTTGCTTGGTCAACAAGGGGATCAAAATGTCCCCCATCAATAAAGTGAGGGCTTTCCGGACCTTCTCCACCTCCCTTTTTCTTTTTTTTTCCATGCTTTCTGTTGGTCAACAACCAACCACAACTCACTAAAGTTCTGCACTCCTCGTACAGGAAGGTAAGAACAACTTTACTTGCTTTTCTGGAAGGAATCGTTTTTTCGTAAATCGCAATTTTATGACACGATGGCTGTTCTCCACTAACCACAAGGATATAGGGACTCTATATTTCATCTTCGGTGCTATTGCTGGAGTGATGGGCACATGCTTCTCAGTACTGATTCGTATGGAATTAGCACGACCCGGCGATCAAATTCTTGGTGGTAATCATCAACTTTATAATGTTTTAATAACAGCTCACGCTTTTTAATGATCTTTTTATGGTTATGCCGGCGATGATAGGTGGATCTGGTAATTGGTCTGTTCCGATTCTAATAGGTGCACCTGACATGGCATTTCCACGATTAAATAATATTTCATTCTGGTTGTTGCCACCAAGTCTCTTGCTCCTATTAAGCTCAGCCTTAGTAGAAGTGGGTAGCGGCACTGGGTGGACGGTCTATCCGCCCTTAAGTGGTATTACTAGCCATTCTGGGGGAGCGGTTGATTTAGCAATTTCTAGTCTTCATCTATCTGGTGTTTCATCCATTTTAGGTTCTATCAATTTTATAACAACTATCTCCAACATGCGTGGACCTGGAATGACTATGCATAGATCACCCCTATTTGTGTGGTCCGTTCTAGTGACAGCATTCCTACTTTTATTATCGCTTCCGGTACTGGCGGGGGCAATTACCATGTTATTAACCGATAGAAACTTTAATACAACCTTTTCTGATCCCGCTGGAGGGGGAGACCCCATATTATACCAGCATCTCTTTCGGTTCTTCGGTCATCCAGAGGTGTATATTCCCATTCTGCCTGGATCCGGTATCATAAGTCATATCGTTTCGACTTTTTCGGGAAAACCGGTCTTCGGGTATCTAGGCATGGTTTATGCCATGATCAGTACAGGTGTTCTTGGATTTCTTGTTTGGGCTCATCATATGTTTACTGTGGGCTTAGACGTTGATACCCGTGCCTACTTTACCGCAGCTACCATGATCATAGCTGTCCCCACTGGAATCAAAATCTTTAGTTGGATCGCTACCATGTGGGGGGGTTCGATACAATACAAAACACCCATGTTATTTGCTGTAGGGTTCATCTTTTTGTTCACCATAGGAGGACTCACTGGAATAGTCCTGGCAAATTCTGGGCTAGACATTGCTCTACATGATACTTATTATGTGGTTGCACATTTCCATTATGTACTTTCTATGGGAGCCGTTTTTGCTTTATTTGCAGGATTTCACTATTGGGTGGGTAAAATCTTTGGTCGGATATACCCTGAAACTTTAGGGCAAATACATTTTTGGATCACTTTTTTCGGGGTTAATCTGACCTTCTTTCCAATGCATTTCTTAGGGCTATCGGGTATGCCACGGCGCATTCCAGATTATCCAGATGCTTACGCTGGGTGGAATGCCATTAGCAGTTTTGGCTCTTATATATCCGTAGTTGGGATTCGTCGTTTCTTCGTGGTCGTAACAATCACTTCAAGCAGTGGAAATAACAAAAGATGTGCTCCAAGTCCTTGGGCTCTTGAACAGAATTCAACCACACTGGAATGGATGGTACAAAGTCCTCCAGCTTTTCATACTTTTGGAGAACTTCCAGCTATCAAGGAAACCGTGAAGTAAAAGAAGAAAAGGTAGACCACTAATACTAAGAACCTAACAGAACAAGCAATGCCCCATGCCTTTCTTGGTTGGACCAGCCCAACCGGCGATTTACGTCTTCCTGAATTGGGAGAGCAAGCACAAGTCTCTCTTCTTTTTTTGTTTTTACCCTTTATTGGAACTTTAAAAATTCTTCCTACTGAACGGGAGCTACTAGATTTGTATTTGTTGAATCTTCCTTACCAAGACCCCGAATGGGTTAACTTTTTGAACACCACGCAGCTCAGTAGTCCACCCGCTGAGCTGGATTCCGCTTTCCAGTCGTTTATGCGGCTAGAATTCTCCGTATCCGCCCGGGAAATGGTGATTTCTCTATTCAAAACCATTTTTTTTCTTACATTCTACGTTTCCGAAACGGATCCTATCAAATATTTCTTTTTTCCTTTGAATTACTCATATATATATCCTATGAATTTCATTTCGCACCGGAAACTATTCTAGGAGAAGTTCGAATCCGTTCCGTTCGGATATTGATCGGTCTTGGTTTGACATGGTTTACGCGTTACTGGTTCCCGGAAGAGTTAATATCTCCATTAGCTAAACCCTTTCTTACCCTGCCCTTGGACTCGTATTTTGTTTGTACACAATCAACGGAGGCCTCCCCGACATATGTTGCAACGTCTTCAATAGCATGCTCTTATTTCGTCTTTCCCTTAATAAGTCATCAAATTTGGTGCTTTTTGATCCCCAGTTGCTATGGAGAACAAAGGACGAAATACAATCGATTCCTCTATTTAAGTGGTTCTCGCTTCTCCTTGTTCCTGTTCCTAACTCCTCCCCGGGTAGTTCCCAATGTTTGGCACTTTCCATACTTCGTGGGTGCAACATCAACAAATTCGCTCATGATCAAGTTACAACCTAAGATCTATGACCATATTATGTTAACTGTTCGTATTTCGTTCATTCCATCGGTATGCTCCCAGGTACCTGTAATTGTGATCCGTTTGCCAGAACTAAGGGGTCTTTCTGTGGAAACCTTCACGAACAATCGTCGTTTTTTGATGGTTTTTCCGCTTCTCACAGCTGCTCTTTCTACACCCCCGGATATCTGGTGCCAAACCGTCGCCCGTTTCCTTATTTCTTTGATAATAGAGTTGTCTATCTTTGTGGCATCGATTGTACAAGTTCGTGAAGAAGGCTGGACGAGTGGAATGAGGGAAAGCGGCTCGATCGACAAAAAAGAAGAGTAGCCCAACCCTAGAACCTGGCAAAATAACTATAAATGAATTCCCGAGCAATTCTCAACCAACATATGCGATTCATTCCCGTAAAGATTCTAACATACAGAAGACTCCTTGCCTTTGGAGCGGGATGAGTGATACATCTGGCGAGCGCCAGTGAAGAGCGCAAGCAAAGCTGGAGCTCGGGCTTTTTATATTCCATCAAGAGAAAGGAGGCAGACTGGTAAGAAGACCGACCACATAGGGGGGGCGAACCGAAAAGCTCAGGTTTGAAGAGATTTTTTTTTACTTTTTCCCCACTTATCATCTTGGGACTTGTTCCCTCTTCAACTCAGCGCTCTATAGGTAGGCATTTTTTTTGAGAATTAAGGTCCAAAAAGTAGCCGAGCTCTCACAAATAGAATTGGAGTACCACGGAGAAAAGCTAGCTGGATAAACAAGACAGGGATCGCCCGCTCGGCAATGCTGCCTTGGGGAGGAAACAACAAAACACTTTAATATAACAATTAAAAACTCATATTCAAAAGCTTTTCGATATATGAACAAGATTACTATAAAAGAGTTGGTGAACATTGTTCTGACTCATAGCTCTAAGATGACTAGCATGAATAAGCCAGCTTCAACACCACCTATACTCTTAATCATAGACAGACTTGCACCGACCTCAACATAAAAGGATGAGCCCGGCCTGTCTATTTATATGCATTGGCTTAACTCATTCCTATACACTGCAAAGAACACATAATTAAAACAGCCTGGTAAGGGCTGTACAAGGGAACGAAAAAGGAGTTTGTTTGATAAGAAAGAGTTTGTGCTTAGTTAACAAACATCGAGTTTGGAGTCGGGGCAGCGTGGATACGAGACTATTGAAGTTAAGTTTGGAATCATTTTGGTTTTCTATCTTCAGATTACCAAATTGGAGAATCACCAAGGCCTTTCAGCGATTCGACGCGCCCCCCTAAGCTAGACGCTTCACCTACCCAGAGAATAGAATGAGTCGCCCGCCTAGTCTTACTAAGAGTTTGAATTGCTCCGGGCGAATGAATCGCATTAGTGTGATTTGGCTAGCAGAATCGCCCTTATATTATATATATTTTTCAACCAGGTCAACGCATCGCCACTACGGAAACGAAATTTCCTTAGTCCTTTTTCTGTGAAACAAAGCCAAGTCTTTTCCGCCTTCCATCCCGCGTTTCCCTGCTTGAGACTGCTTTTTATTAGCCCAGTCATGAACCACCCCGGTTGGAGCCATGGTCTACCCGGCAGTGCTTCATAGCCCCCTTGCTCTTTGTCTAATCTTAGACTAAAGGTACGGCATCCTTTTTTGTTGTTTTTCTTTTGGCCGTAGGTTGTACGCCAGCCATATGTAGCTTGAACTGTGATGGCCACAATGCTTAGCTACCCAAGATGCCTTTGGTTGAATGTTCACACCCGTCTGCACTTCCTACATTCATTCCCGGAAATTGAAACAAAACAGGAAAACTGGAATTGTAACCCCCCGGTCTGCTGTAGTCAGCCTCACGGTGTGCCTGACTGGCGAGTCCGCCGTCTCCACGGCTTCCCCTTTAGCGGGCTGCTCCTCAAGCCTTCGAGTGCCGATCTTCGCGAGACGGCCCAAGCGAAGATCTTCGATCCGAATCTTCGCATCTACTCTCTCTTAGAGGATGAACCACGCCTTCGCTATCGCAAGAATATAGCGATCGAAGAGAGCTATCGCTCAGCTGCTTCGCGTATTACTTACGAAAGCCGTATTGTCCGAAGGGGGCATGCCGCAAGAGCGTAGGTGAGTGGTAAGCGTAGGGGGCGTGCCCGAAGGGCAGCGGAAGCTGTGTGGTTCCAGGTGCCGTCGCTAGATTGAGATCTGCAGGGTGGCGAGGACTTCGACTGCCTTGTATCGGGTGCAGAGAAGGGGGTGGTAGGCTTAGTAGGGCTCGAACCTACAATATAACCGTTATGAGCGGTACGTTTCAACCAATTAAACTATAAGCCCCTACGGATCTCTACATGCAATTCGCTCACTTCGGGAAGAGCGGACGGAAAGAGGAGGCCTTTGCTCTATCTGCTTCTTCCTCTTCAACAATTGGATTAAAAAAAAACGGATTTTCTTAGTTTATAGATATAATTATATAATTATATATCTATTTTTTATTATTATTTATTATAATAAAAATTTTTTAAGCAAGCGGCCCCTTCGCGACTCAAACTGCCGGTACGCTTTCCGGCTCGCAACGACTCAAACGGGCGGGGGCTTTTTATTTGCTTGCAATGCTTGCAGTTCGCCTTTAGTTAGAAGTAGAAGTAGAGGGCACCCTTTGCCCCACACTTCAGAGAAGGTAAAAAGGTATGGATTAAGTAAGAAAAAGTACATAACATAAGGAGTGAGAAAGAAAACCTTGGTTACGGGAACCAAAGGTTAGGCCGACTACTTACTTTAGTATAGCTACACCTAAAAAAGTTTATTCCTACCCCCTTTTCTTCCCCTTTCTGTCAATGTTGCCAATTCTCAAATTATAATGTACCCTCGCGCATACAATTGCCCAACAACTTTCTTCCTCCGACTTCTTTAGCCACTTCCGCATCTGTCGTATTCGGGATCGGGAGAGCTTGGCTTCGCGGCGGAGCATTTAGCAATGCCAGCCAGCCTGGTGAGGGCTGGCTCTGTCTGGGGACAGGCTAAGGCTGGGCCTGCTGGGCTTGCTTCTCATGAGATTGGGTGAGGGAATCGGAAGGGGGCTCATAAACCGGGCGGGCGGGCTTTTGGGCACACGGAAAAGGGGAAGTGGATGGAGGGTGCTTCTCAGCTAGAGTTGGGGGTGGGGTCGCTATAGTGGCTAGGGCGAGTCTTCCTACACGGCGCCCGGCTCCAGACGAAGCGGCGGCCTCCCCTCGAAGCTCTTCATAGTCCAGGCGGGGTAGACAATCTTCTCTCAAAAAGAGACAGACCAGAGATGACAGAGGAAGCGGTTCAAAAAAGATACGGCAGTCAGAACAGCCTCAGCCCAAAATAAACTAGGGACAGAAGCTGAGAGCAAGAGAGAGCGAGCTGTCTCCAATATATGTATATGGCGATGTTTCCGCTCGGCAACCCCATTCTGCTGAGGAGTGTGGGGGCAGGATCGTTGGAAAAGCGCTTTGTAAGTGAAGTGAGTTGAAGCAAGCAGAG